TATGGGTGGCATGCTCGGATCTTTTGGGCCCTTGGTTGGTTAGTACTCTCAAACAGGCATCCAGTATTCCGCAGCTCTGGCTGTCACTCTTGCCAAAGGTCTCTGCGCCCACGCTGCCTCGACAGCTGCGCCCCCTTGGCATTTCTGAGATATCAGGGCGTGTCGTCTGCGGCTTAATCCAACATCAGTTACGACCGTATGTCATGGCCTTTCTCAGCCAACACCCTCAGTACGCGTACCTTGTGGATCGCGCCACAGATCAAGCACTACTTCGTGTGCTCATCCATTGTCGGGAGGGGCAACAGATGTGCGAGGCCACACCCTATAATATACATGATGCCAGGTGGGCGGCGGGTTCTACGGCGGCTTCTATGGAGAACGGTCGTCGCTCTGGCAAACCCAAAGGCGGCGCCATTCAACTGTCGCTTGACCTCTCGCAAGCGTTTGATCGCTTGGAGTGGCCGCTTATCAGAGACGCACTGATGGAGGCCGGCGTACCCAACGACCTCTTCAGACTCATAGTAGGCTGGCACCGAGAGATGTACTATCACATTAGAGTCTCTGCATCCACTGCGCGAGTGTCCATTGGCAGGGGCGTCCGGCAAGGGTGCCGCGTCGCTCCGATGTTGTGGGCACTCGCCACGGCTGTGCTTATGCGTCGCACGGACGCGGTGCTGGGCTTCTCGTGGTCTAAGGACTCTTTGACTGCGTACGCCGACGATTTCCATACAGGCGAATGCGTAAGTCGCGGCGAGCATCTTGATAGGTCTTTGCATCGCTTTGGTGTGTTCCTTGATCAGCTGGTGGATGCTCACTTGCAGGTAAATTCAAAGAAGTCTGCCATCCTGCTGCGTCTGACCAAAGGATTTGCGCCTGCCTGGCGCAAGTGTCATGTGCGGAACGGGGAGGAAGGGCCGTATCTACACTTTGCCACTCCCGCTGGCAGGACGTTTGACATACCGATCAAGCAGGAGCATGTCTATCTTGGATTGGTTATTTCATATCGAAGTCCGCGCACAGCTTCAGTCGCGCATCGTGTCCAAGCCGCGTGGGCCACCTGGTCCCGACTCCGGCCTGCACTCACATCGGCGTCAGCTCCAGCCCTGGGCCTCCGACTCAGACTGTGGAGGGCGCGTCTTCCTCCCACCTTCTATACGGAGTACATACTCTGGCTCTTGGCTCGCGCCAGCTCTTAAGTCTGCATCATGTCTATACCCGACATCTTCGTGCTGTGGCGAGATCACAAGCTCATCTGACTTTTGAAAGCACTGCATGCCTCTATGCCAGACTTGGTGTTCCTTCCGTGCACGAGCTTCTCACGCGGGCTCTGACAGGCCTTCGTGACAGAGTCTCCCATGCTGTTTTGGCGGGTCTTGAGCGTCCTGCGCTGCTTTCAGAGTGTGAGCGACTTCTAACCTCACTTGGTCACCTTGCTGACCCTTCTCTGGTCTCCAACTACCAGGGGGCTGAGGCTGATGATCTCAGTGTGTGTCATCCGCACATATCATCTCCTGTTGATATGTTGCCTGAAGACAGGGATGGCTCTGTGTTACCGATTGCTCAGGATTTTCGCTGCCCCACTTGTACCATTTCCTTCCCTGATCTTAGGCAACTTCGTGCTCATCAAGCCGCACATCATAAGTTGGTCGTCTCACAAAGGGCCCTGGGTATCCCGTTTGACAAACAGCTTCACTCTTGTGCTGGTATGCCCACATGTGCTCTTTGTGGACACTCCTTTACCCGGTGGACCGCACTGAAGGATCACATTAGCCGTGGCCGTTGTCCGGCACTGGATCCTGACCTTCGAGGTCAACTTGGTCTCTTGCCTCCTCCTGATACTACTGACTCGCATCGTCACCATCATGCCATCTGTCCAGCTGAGGTTCTCTCGTCGACGTCGCGCACTGTCGGTGAGGTAGCTGGTGCGGACAGCCTGAGGTGTCCATCTGCGGTTGCCTCTACTCCTCACCATGTCTCAGGGGTGACAACCTCAGCTTGGCCTGTCGGGGAGGTCTCCAGTCGCTCCGTCCATATGCCGGGCTCAGGAACTAGCAGTCAATCGGTGGACCCGCTCTGGCAGAAGAGGGTTGGGCAATCCTAAGTCATCCCCATTGCCGATCGGGTTGATGTCCAGGCATCAGTACGACGACATGGGTGGCAATTGCTACTCAAGGACCAAAACTTCGTGACGAGCTGAGACACCACTGCCCATGTTGCGGGCAATGGTGTGCTTCGTCTGCGGGTGTCAAGGTTCACATGTCTAGATCGCACAGCGTGTGGACACAACTTCTGCCTGAAGTGCTCGAGCGTACGGTGCTTATGAAGCGAATGATCACCAAGCCATGCCCTTATTGTCTTGAGCAGACTTTCGATGTGCAGACACATTGGAAACGTTGTCATGTCATCACGGTGTGTTGTTTCCTGGAACTATATGCTAAATGCCATGACGCCACCGCCGACTCCAAGTCTGCAGGGCACTCTCAGTCAGGAGGCCAAGGAACAGGAGAAGCAGATGTTTCAACATCTCTTGTCAGTTTGTCACCCACCGGGGGAACAAGCCAACAAGGCCTCGGCAACTATGGCTGCCAAGAGAGCCCGAAAGGAGACAGACTCTCAAGAGGCACAGGATGTACAAATGACAACGGAGCAAAAAGATCCATTCCGGCAATGGGGTCCAGCTTTGGCTGGCCGTGGACAGGGGGGCAAGTCCAACAAAGGACGGGGGAAAGCAGCCGGCAAGGGCAAGTCGCTGAACAAGGGCAAGGGCAAAGGCATGCAGGCACGCAGCTCAGCCTCCACGACACCGTATGCAGGCAACGACTGGGAACGCACGGCCGAGTACTACAGCCTGGACGGTGAGTCAACGCTACTGCATCAGATGGCCAAGCTTGCTCTGCGACACGAGAGGCAGCTTCAGGCGCTACAGCAGGACACCAAGCTTTACTTCTTCTTTCGTCCGGATCCCCCAGCCTCTGTTGTGCCACTCATGACCAGCATTGCCAAAACCTGGAGGGAGCTAGTGGAGGCCAACAAAGTTCAGTCCTCGCTTCGCGAAACAATGCTACGAGAGCTGATCCAGGAGATGAGGCGCCGCATCACAGGCTTCACCAATCAAACGGAGATGCAGGCACAAGCAGCCAAGATGAATTGGATCGACTCTCAGGGCTCCTGGAACTATCTGCAGTGGAACCCGGAGACTCAGGCAGAGGAATTGGTTCCCAGAGTGGAGAGTCGCACCACGGAGTCGCTCCTACAGGACTTGGACGAAATCGAGAAGCTGATCAGCAGCACAACCATTCGGCACTTCGGATCCGTACGTCCGTTTCGCCAGCAATACGAGACGAGCTGGGTACAGTTTGTGCTAGAGATAGAGCTACGCACAGGCCGGGACAAGCTCTGGAAGCACTTCAATGCCCTCATCAACTGTGCAGTCCTGCATCTCCTTGCAGCCAGACTACGGCGAGATCGCCCGATCCTCTCGGGCCTGGCCAAATCCCTGCAGGAGCACCTCTGGTACGGTCTGATCCTCAGCATGATCCTCAGCCTGATCTGTCCACTTCCTTGCTGGGCCTTGACCTTGGCCGGGTTTGCCTCCTCAATCCCACGTCCACTACGTGCTACATGAACAGTGCACTGCTTGCGCTCTTGCATGTTGTGCAAGCATTGCGTCCCATGGATGAGGATGAGCTTGGCCGCTTAACAGCAGGCAGGTGTGCTTGACATCAGCAAACACATGCCATGGATGCTCCTTATCAGTCCCTGGGTTCGTCCTTATCAGCAACATGATGTGGTGGAATTTGTCCAGCATATTGTTCCAGGCCTACGGATTCCTTCCTTCAAAGGGCGCTGGTATGCTCGTTGTTCTGAGGCTGGTGTCGTCAGTGTCAAGGACTCGGGCCCGTTGACCTATCCTATTCCTGTGCCGCTTCAGGATGCTGCCGTGTTGCAGCAATGCATTGATCGGTGGCATTCCCAGCAATCCTTTGCTGTGCATGCCCTCGGCACAGATGCTGAGGTTGTCATCCTATACTTTATGAGGTACAATGCTATGGGGCGGGGAAAACACAAGCGGATCGTGAAATCCTCAGCCTCAATTGCTGGTTTACTGGATACTGTGTGGTTGCCGTACTTTGCTGATGAATCTACTCTTCAATGCCTGCATCGTCCTTTTCAGGTGGTATCTATCATTGTCCACTTTGGGGACACACCGAACACCGGACATTACCGTTGCCTATGGCGGAAAAGAGACAGATACTGGCTGACCGATGATGGCACCACTGCCACTGAGTGCACTGTGAATGAAGCTGCTGCATTGGCACAACAGTCATACATCGCTTGGCTAGTTCGATTGACCTAGGTCGGTCGACGTTCATCTTTGACGTGGAAATGACATTGAGTTCATTCGTGCACTGACGGCCAAAATGGCCTAGTGCAACAAGGTAGTATAGCATCCTTGAGATGCCGGAGCTTGCTCTGCTACTGTTTCTCGCTAGGCGAAGGAGACTTTTCTCGCTGCGTCCGGAAGAAAATGTATGTATGTATGTATGTATGTATGTATGTATGTATGTATGTATGTATACATACCCACCCGCACATGCACACTTTTGGTGATCCCTGGCAAGCCACAATCCAATTTTGGCACAGCACTAAAACTGATGCGCCAGGCCCCCGAAGACGGGATCTCCCCAAACCGTCGCCACTACTTGGAGGTTCGTGGGTAGTTATAAGTGGGGTTTAGGGGTTTAGGGTTTAGGGCTTAGGGTTCCGGGAGGTTCATGGGACTTAGTAATTAAGGTTCTAAATAAGGCAACTAGTTACAAGTGGGGTAAAAAGTAGGGTAACTCTACTTATAACCCGTATTAGGAGACTTAGGTAGTTAGTTATACATGGGGTTATAATTCCCCATATATGAGTTTTAGATATAGTTACCCAACTTATAACCTCACTTATAACTACCCATGAACCTCCAAGTAACCATCTCCGCACTTCAACCAAGTCGCCAGCGCAGCCGCGATGTCTTCGGGGAATCCGGCGTCGTCCAAGAGCTGCTCGTCCCAGTCCTGGCATTTCGAAGCGTTTCGGGGCTTAAGGAGGCTTCAGGGATTTAGGGTATGGCTGGGTTGAAGGATTCAGAACTTGGGGAGACGGGGTCGAGGGTGTTGGCGGTCAAGGTCATGGTCTCGGGTAGCGGTACGCAAGGTGGATTCATGAAGATACCTGTGGCCTTACATCTCGCTTGAGCTCGAGGTGTCCTACTTCATACTACGAACTCTGTCGCTGAGCCACAAACCAGGTTCCACTGCAGCCCTCCTGAGTAGCTAAGGGCTCTCAACCCCAATGCCCCCCTCAGTTTCCGTTGCATTCAGAGAAGTGGTGAGCCCGCCTCCGTCCACTCGTCGGAGTCCTCTTCTCTCCTGGCACCCGGAGGAGAGCTGTATATTTTTTGGGGCCTTATGATGGGAAGAGGGTCTCAGGGCATCTTGTAGCGCACATATCATGAGGAACCTTCAGGGGCTATGTTGGCAATTCTCCAGTCCCCCTGTTTGGACCAATCATTGGCTCTTATCTGCTTGAAGGCTCCGGGAAACTCAGAAAGCAGGTCGCAAGCAGAGGCTTTGAGGAGGATAGCCGACTCAGTTCCCTGATCCTCCAACACGAAAAAACTACACCCTAATCTAGGGGCCTCAATACCTTAGAACAGGGTTTTGGGGTATGTTCTACTATGATTATAATAAGGAGCCCCCAAAATAATGTAGGCAAGTATAGTAAGGAACCCCCAAAATGATGTAGGGAATTATAGTAAGGATCCCCCAAAAATAATGTAGGTAAGTATAGTAAGGAACCCCCAAAACAATGTAGGTAAGTATACTAAGGAACCCCCAAAATAATGTAGGGAAGTATAGTAAGGAACCCCCAAAATCATGTAGGTAAGCATAGTAAGGAACCCCTCAAAGTATAGTAAGGAACCCCCAAAAAAATTTCGGTAAGTATTAAAAAAGGGGTCCCTACTTTTCTTCTCTTTTCTCAGAGGGCCACGGGTTGCTGTCGCTCCCCCGGTGCCTGGAGATCCATCGGATCGCCAGGTCAAAGAGGGCCTTGGCACGGGGGGTTCCGGAAACAGGGGGAAACTCATATGGGTGGTTGTCAAAATTATGGTCCCTTTTTGGGTTTAGGGTTTAGGGTTTAGGGTTTAGTGGGTGGTTGTCAAAATTATGGTCCCTTTTTGGGTCCTTATTATAATACGGCACCTATTATTTAGGGTACCCCAAAAGGGGCCGTAGTTTTGACAACTACCCATATAGTACCTTAAATAGTAGGATCCTTATTATGAGGACCCCCAAAGTAAGGTACCCCATATTTTCGGAAACTCCCAGATGAAGGCGCGAAGTGCGAAGTTCTTCAACAATCAGGGGTCGTCGATTTCCGGGTGCCGCAGAGTAAACCTCCTCCTGTTTCGGAGTAGTGTGGTAGAGAGCCGGATCATGGGCTCCAGAAAGAAACTCTCGGGCTCTTGTTTTAAACTTAGGTCTCAGCAAGTGCCTGTCCCGGGGCTTCTGGTCACGCGTGGCCAGCTCACGAGCCCTCATAATCCATGCGTTTTAGCGCACCGTGCTTCTGAAAGACACTCTTGTAGCTTGTCAAACCATACTCATACTCATAACTGTTGTCACCAGGATCATTTGGGCTCTTGTTCTCCTTCCTGTTCAAAAATGAACAGAAACCTCGTCGGTTTCGACCTCGCAATTTGGAGAGCTCCCTTCGGGAGTCATCCTAAGACTCAGCGGCGCGATGCAAACCAGCAGCAGGTTCCGAGAGCCACTTGTTGATTGAACTGCTTGCAACCAGCCGCTGATGAGATCACACGCATCTGCTGTGTCAAGTCGTATCTCCAACGCCGAGAATGACAAAGCAGAGCTGGCAGTGTCCATTTCACGCCAACTCCGCTCCAGAAGCTCGACTCCAGCCGCAGAAAACAAGGTGGCCGGATGCTTCCCCAGGCAAAACCTGGCTTCGCCAAGAAGCCAGGGAAATAAAGGGTTAAACTTTCAGATTACTACTAAGTTATAAGAACCCAAAAAATTTAAAGCTTGGATATTGGGGAACCAAGAAACAGCTGCGATGATGCTTGGACAATCTGAAGGTCCATGTCGATTAGGAGCGAAAGAAACCTGTCTTCAGCACCAGCACCGGTCTGCAGTGGCACTGCAGGCGCAATCGGCTGTGAGCCAAGGGAACTGCATACCCCCGCAGACACGGGCGTGATAGAGCGAGGAGCAATGGTCAAGCTCTCGACGACTTTGCTGCCTACCAAGGAGTCCTGGTCTGTAACGTCGCGGAGGCCAATGAGGTGCCTGGCAACACCCTGCGGGGTGTGATACATCACTTGAAAAACTTCCGTGCGAAACTTATTGGAGTCGCTGTCCATGAGGTGCGTCAGAAAGGCCTGGGCATTGACGCTCTCAGCGGGACGATCTTCGAAGCGCCGCAGCAGCTCCACAACACGGCCGGCCTCAGCAGCACCTGCAAGCAAGTCCGTGAAGTCCATGCCAGCCAAGGTGCCTCCTGACCTGCAACGGAGCAGCATAGCAGACAAGGAGGCTTTATGCTCCGTCATTCGCAGATCAGCATCTAGCTCGACCACGGCGTCGCAAGTCAGGTGCAAAAGAGATGATGCAGCATTGAAGTCAGTTTCCATCTTCTTGAACTGCAGGCTGCGCTCAATCCGGTAACTCAACAGTAGCTGCAACGATACAGATGCAGACACCGTTGCGACAAAGCCGCATACTTCTGCAAAAGGTGCTACTCTTGGCAGTCCTTCCGTGCCTGCACGGATCAGCACCACTAGTAATGGTAGGAGGCTGCATGCAGCAACCACGACCGGGGATGTAGCAATACCAACTGCGGGCACACGGCCGAGGCCAAGAATGAAGAGGGAGATCTCCTGAAGAAACGGACTCCAAGGGACCCTCTACAACGCACCCTGGCCCCTTCAATCCCTTAAAGTTTTTTTCCTCTTACAAACAAAACATACGAAACGAGACTGCTTGCGAGTCTAGTTTCTGCAGTTCGTTCAGGTGTCACATGCCATGGAGATAGATGCGCTGCCCAGACAAGTGTGGCCAGTATATAGTACATGTCCAGATATCGCACTGACAGGACAGCCGGAATAGCATCCACAGTAGTACAGATGCAAAAGACCCCTGCCCAAGACCAAGTCAGAAAAGCTGGCAGTCCAGTGGGCCTGTCCGACTGCATGCCCATTAGCACATTCCACTGGACAAAGCACACAGGCAGTGCAAGCATAATGCACGTGCATCTGACATACCAGCGAGCTATCTGTAAACGAACCTGGCTCACTTGTTCCATCACGAGCCGCTTATCGGCAGTCAGCTGGGGTTGCTGGAATGACCGTCCCACAGTCTTCAAGATGCCTCGGGCCGCAGAGAGCAGGTACCCTCGGTGGTGCACCCCAGAGTACACCAGCCTGCACACAATGACGATCTGAAAGGCACCCGTCACGACGAGAAAACTGGCATCCAGCCTGTTATCCAGAGAACCTGCAGCAGAGTCCATCAGCTGTTGGTCCGCACTGTTGCCGAGCACCTACCGGGAGTGAATCCTGGTCTGAAACGGCTTCCAGAGCACAGAAGCATTCGGAAGCAGGTAGGGGTGCCCCGTAGCATCATAGCACCACATCCCAAGTGATGGGAGGGTGCGCGGGGCTCGAAGCATCGTGCTTCGCACCCCAAGCCCCCAACACCTTAAAACCCCCAACCCCCCCCTTCTCCATCCTATGAGGCTCCCCTAAACCCTAAACCCTCATGTTCCGAATGAAAAACCCCCAGATGAAGGTTTCTGGGCTCCGAGTTCGGATCAAGGCCCTGGCGCCGGAGGACACAATCGTGAAGCAGCCCACCTGGGAGTTTCAGAAACCTAGCCTTATTTTGGGGTCTTTATAATGGGGATCCTATTATTTAGGGTACTATATTAGGGTCCCCTATTTTCGGAAACCCCCCACCTGGGTTTAGGGTTTAGGGAGGAACGCAGGCAGAGCTGCGAGACAAACACACCGTCTGCTGGTAAGGGAGAAGAGGAGGAAGGCACCTTCGCATGAAGGTTCGCTCTGCATAGCAGCTTGTCTTTTGTTCGGGCTGCAAGCCTAAGCCCTAAGCCCTCACCGTTTTGGGTGGGTAAAGCCAGACAAACCTGGGGAGCCGGCAGCAATGGTGGGCAGCCAGTAGCCTTTGGGCAGCCTGAACAGTCGCTGAAGCCCGTTACGCATAGGCGTAGTGTGAGGGTTGTAGGCATTAGGCCTTTAGTGTTTGCAGGCTTTACGAGATAGTTGGGGTTTTGGATTGCGGGGGGCAGGGCATATGAGAGGAAAGTGATTAGAGAGCATTGGGTATGAGGGTTAAGGGTACGGTGATGGCTCTTCCCATCTTGTCATTCACTACGCTGCTCATCAGCCCTTGTGCTAGATGGACCCTTTGCTTCCAATTCAGTCTCCATAAAATACCCTTTGCCACAAAGATGCCCAACCTAAACACTATCAAACCTAAACTCCTCGTAGTCTGTTTTGACAGGGAAGCCTAAAAATACAGAGAGCTATAGGATTCTAGCAATTTGGGGACCCCAAAGCACTTCAACACTCGCGCTTCTCAGAATCGAAGAGGGCCCAAGAGTTCTCCACGTAGGGTTTGAAGTTGGTGTCGTCTAGGCCTGAGCCAAGTGAGCCTTCAAACTTGTACAGACCCCAAACCGGCAGATTAGGGTTTAGGGTTTAGGATTGTTAGCTGCCAAAAAGTAGGTGCACAACGTCACACATAGGCCCCACTTTCGTAAATTGCCACCAGATGCCGAGATGGAATCCGCAGCTGCCCGCACAAATCTTCGCTGCTTTTCGCATCTAGAACGGGCGGTGGGTTTCAAAAACCCAAAAACCCGCCAGAACCCTTAAGCCCTAAAGCCTCAAAGCTTGGAAGCCTCGACTCCTTAGTCCGAAGCTTCAACACCCTAATGCCCCCCAGAACCCTGCAATCCCTTTAAAAGGAGCCCCCTGACTACCCTAAACCCCTAACCCTGCAAGGATGGGGCCTTTAAAAAGGAGCCCCCTGGTTACCCTATCGGTTTAGGGTTTAGGGTTTATACCCCCAAAACCTTGCAACTATGGATCCCTTTAAAAGGAGCCCCCCATGGTTCCCTCCTAAACCCTAAACCCTAAACCCTAAACCCTAAACCCCTGAGGCCCCAGGCTTGGGAAGCAGTCGATCCCGGAGGCTGCCGGCCGACCTCTCCAGGCTCGGGGCCCGCCGACGTGAGGCTACGGTAGGGGCCTTAATTATAGGGTTTAGGGTTTAGGGTTTAGGGTTTAGGGTTTAGAATAGGGCTCCTTTAAAGGGTTCCTTTAAAAGGGTTATCATAAGGGTTATTATAAGGGTTTTATAAGGGTGGAATGTAGGGGCCTTAATAATTAGAATAAGGTTTTGGGGCCCATTATACTGTAATTACAAAAAGGAAGCCCCAAGATAGGCTTGAGAGTTTAATCTAGGGATTAGACTAGGGTTTTGGGGGTATAGTATACTATACGTACAATAAGGAACCCCCAAAATAGAATAGGTAATTATGTTGGCCCCTATACTACCTAAACCAAAAGAATAAGCTTCGTAAACACAGACAGTCCTCGGCGGGCAGGTTTGACTAGGTTCCCTCTTTTTCTGGAGTTCCTTCAGGGTTGAAGGCAATTCCATCTAGCATTCGTGCCCCGAGATGCATTGCACGTTTCTGTGAATTTGCCGACAGCCTTGAGGTAATTTAACTGCCAATCTCCTTTGTTGCAGCTGCTGGCACCTGGCTTGTCATGCCATCTTCAACGAGTCTCCAAGCACACTGCAAGATCCATGTATAGGGGGCCTGGAGAATTAGAATACGGTTTCGGGTTGTATCAAATTTTGATTCCATGAAGGAGCACTAAGGACTAGTAGCACTAAAGCATTCAAGCCCTAATTACGAACAATAGTCCCTTGTACTCCTTATATACGAAGGGTATGACACACCCGAAACCCTACTCTAACCATAGAAGACGTCGTAGACTAAAACCCTACAAAGAATTCTGATCATAGAACATACACCTTTTCAGGAAACCTTGTTGTTAAGGCTCGTATATGAGACGCGAGCGGGCTAGACATGCGACCTGGACGATGCCCACCATGCTCGGCCCAGGGTCACGCCTCTTTGTGCTTCTTTCAAAGAGGTTGAGGGTTTTAGGGTTGCTGTTTGAGGACCGTCTATATGGTGGGGATCTGTGACGAGACGTGGTAAATGGAGATCAATAACGGGCTCCAGAAGGAGCACTATGGAGGGCCGCTTTGGGGTCCGACGAACAGTACTATGACGATTCCATCAACATTCTAAAACACGTACTGTGCGGGTTTTATCAAGGGGTTTTGTAACAGGTTTTTTTTGGGGGTCAAGAAAGGGTACATTAACGCAATGCTAGCAGAGGATTGACGTCGTTGGGCTTTGAAATAGACTTTAACTAGGGTCTGTTGAGGAGTCCAAGTCTGGAAACCGGCGCTCAAATTAGGGTTGTGCTGGAAATTTTAACCATTATTCTGTGTATGTGAATGCAATTTTTTGGTGTAGATACCACGATTCCAGGACTTCGGTAAGCCCTGGAGTCCTAGCCTCTGTTCTTTGACTGTGGAACCGTGCAGCCTCAAGCCGAAAACCTAAACTCCAGTGTGAGCTGGGCACGGGAGACAAAGCTCCCAAGTTGTTGGTTCACCCTGCCACACAACAGACTCGGAACGAGCACCATCATCATCACCATCATCCTCGTCATCATCATCGTCATTGAGAACCACTCTTTGCATCACAACATATCCTGAACTGTACTTCTGTCAGCACTTATTCAAGCCCTTTCCAAGTTTCGTTCTGCTATCCTCACCGGTCGTCTGTACACACCTTAGTAGCACCATGCCGCCATTGTCATAGTCTTTGCCGCTTACAGCTTAAAACCGTGGCTTAACCGGGTTTGGGGGCTTAGCATGATAGTATGGTTATACAGGGGCTCTATCAAAGAAAGACGATTTCTCATCATTCAGACCCCCTCTAGTAAGGTCAAAGGGTTTAGGGTTTAGGGTTTAGGGCTAAACCCTAAACCCTAAACCCTCAACCCTAAACCCTAAACCCTAAACCCTAAACCCTCAACCCTAAACCCTTAAACCCGAAGCCTCCCTCATCTCTCGCGCCTCGCCCTGGCCGGCGCAAGGCTTGGAGTCCTCCCCCGGGCTCAGGGCCGCTGGGATACGACTCGGGCTTCCCAGAGACTCCTATGTCCCTTAATTAATGAATATACCTTAAATCATATTAGGGATCATATACCTGAAATCATATTAGGGATCATATACCTGAAATCATATTAGGGATCATATACCTTAAATCATATTAGGGATCATATACTTTAAATCATATTAGGGATCCGATTATAATTTAAGGTATATTCCTTGATTAAGGGATATGGGAGTCTCTGGGTTCCGGGCTCTTACACGAGGGGCAATGCTCTAAGTCGGGGTCCCTTTTAGGGTTCGCAACAAGAGACATGGGGCAACCTTACAAACAGGGACCCTAATTAAAGGGACACGCATGTTGTGGTGAGCTATCAACCCTAAACCCTAAACCCCTAAATCCTAAACCCTAAACCCCTCAACCCTAAACCCCTAAATCCTAAACCCTAAACCCCTAAACCCGAAACCCCTGAGTTCTTTTTTTTTGGGTTTTGGGCCTCGGGGTGCCAGGAAGGCCTCGACTCTACGGGGCCCTGAAAGGGCAGAGGAGCTCTCAGGCACCTCATGGCCGGTCATTTTAGGGAAAAGATGGAGGTTCATGGGTAGTTATAAGGCTCCTTTTAAAGGGATCTATAAGAGGGTCCTATAAGGGCTCTATAAGGGGTCCTATAAGAGGTCTATAAGGGGTCATACTTGGAGGTTCATGGGTAGTTAGAAGTGAGGTTACAGGTTGGGCAACCAGACTTCTAACCCGTATTACAAAACTTGTAACCCCATTTGTTCCATTTGTAACTACCCATGAACCTCGAAGCAAACATGGGCGAGAGCCTCAGAGTGGCAGAGGGCTGAAGCTAGTGGAAGCCGACAGCACTTGACATCCAACGAGCCGACAAACAAGCGCTGTTTAGGTTAGAAGTTATAAGTACAACTTCCAGCACCGCAAAAGCGGTGCTTTCTGAACTGCAACCCTAGCCCTTGACACACATACTACATACCCTGGGGGTGATCCTTTAAGTAAAGAGCCTCCAAAACTTCTGAAACGAAGTAATGGCCCTTCAGCCCTTCAGTGTTTGTCGGAGGATCTGGTATTACGATTTGGGGCCGGTAGACTTCGGGGCGTAGGTCCTTTTAGGGGGGTGTAAGGGCTTTGAGGCTCTCGTGCAGCTAGCGGTCAGAGGACAAAAATATGAAACGTAACATCTGGAGGTTTTGTGGTATATGTTTTGTTGTACAAGTCGAGTAGGGTGCCCAAGAGAGCAATTGTTCAGACCCATGTATTCAAGCTCAAGACTTCAGCAAGCTTGTGCCTTCCCTGAACTCGGGTCCTCTATGCAGCATGGCTGCGCCCTTCGCAAGTCTGCGAAGTAGCAGAGCACAAACTGCTAGCTGGAGAAGGTTTCAGGCTTCATTGACGTTACTCTGGCAATGGAGACTTCTTGGAAGAATTTCAAGTCGTATCGCGCATGCCATGAGGCTCCATTCCAGGGTGTACACCGGGATTTCTCCCTGCAGCTGTGTCAATGTATGTGTTTGTAAGTGTGCTGTGGCGCTGTATGGCGAAATGCAGACACTTGCTGTGAGGTTCTGCGTGTCCATGTTGTTCCAAGCAGTTCGGAACTGCCGCAAGTTAGCATGCACTGTCCTTGCTGCTACTTCCCATGCTCTAGTCTCTGACGAAGCTGAACCCACATGTTCCAAAAATGCGGCGGCACGAACAACTCAATCGGTGAGCTATCGGCCCTTTGTATCGATACTGTGCCCGATCCCGAGGTGACGATGCGAGTCGCTCGGTTCATTCTATACATCTGAAAGCAACCGTTCACATATGCACATACACCGAGGCTGCTGTTTGAGCTAAGCGATGCTGACCTTCGTGAAATGAAAGTCAAAGGCTAAACCTGCACCTGCATGCTCTTTTCAGCTGTGGGTCGTCCGTCGCCTCTCAGGACCACGCCCTGGCAAGGTGAGGCCAAAGGGACAGAGTTCGATTGCAGTGCTGGAAGGACTTCAAAGACTACAAGGTCGATGCTCTACGAACTCTACGAACTACAAGCATCTGGCTTTCAATAGTTCTCCTGGTATGCACACACTCTCTATAATTTGCGGCCTCTTCCTGGCCAAGTCTTAGGTGCGTGGTCCATTTAGTGTCGCTACTGCAGTGTGCTTTGGACGTAAGTTGCGGCTGGCCACCCGTCACGAAGTCCTCCGATCATCTTGCGTCCAGCCTTCGGATTGATACAGCTTGACAATCCCTAGATCCGAAGCGATTGAAGCTTCGTTGATGTGACCTGACTAGAAGTTCTGTGACAAATTCGACACGTCGATTTCAACAGCACCACTGCCTGGTCAGTTCTGCAGCTGACGGGAACATCTCGCTGGCATCAGGTGAGACTGAAGGAATTTCTCCTCCTTCTCGGCCTCTTCATCTCAAGCACTCATATGAGCATTGTCAGTATCATCATCATCATCATCGCCGGAATCGTGTTTTTTGAATTCCCCTTCACAGAACCGGCCTGCAATCTCTTCTGTGGCACCACGCGCTTCTTGCGCATGAAGTCCCTGAGCGGCAGTTTTGTCGTTGGTTCTTCTTGTTCTCGCTGATGCCATTTACAAGGTTCTTCAAGACTCGTGCAAAGCTGTCTATCATTTTTAATATGTACACATGTGCTCCCAAGGAATCGCAGTCTCTCTCTTACAACTCTTATTTCCTGGCAGGAATACACCGTAGGGTAGCTCTGGCGGCCTCGAACGTCTCAAGTTAATGCATTATATTGGATGTTAGGAATATTGGATATTATAAAACACACATATTATGTTGTATATACTGAGGTTTCCAGGATTTGCTGCTGTGTTTACATCAGGCGGTCTGAGGTGACAGCTGGTTCCACAGTGCAGCACTGGGGGCGCTGTCCTCTGGCAGGAAGTGCGTCACCTGTGCCAGAGAACCCGAAGGCCCGATTCGGGACAAACAGGGCGGCGGTAAATCTCATTGAGATTTTCAAAGAAACCGACTTCCCAAACGCCAACAGAAGCAGCATCAGCTCACGAACACTAGTTTGAGGCGCCACCATTGCCAAGGGGAGGGGCTCAACGGCACGATAGTGCAAACTCATTCCGTCAATGTTCTGTCAGGGTGGGTCCTGGGGTGTTGTCATGGTCATACGACGACGACGACGGCTACGACGACTGCTGCTACTGCTACTGCTATTGCTGCTCCTACTACTACTACTACTACTACTACTACTACTACTCCTACTCCTACTCCTACTCCTACTCCTACTCCTACTCCTACTCCTACTCCTACTCCTACAACTACGACGACTGCTACGACTTCCAGGACGACGACTACTACTGAGCACCTACCCCGACATCTTCGAATCCGATGGACGTGGTTGCAGCAGAATACATCTTCCTCAACATCTGCATGACGTTGGATGCGACATCGGATGGACACAGGGCTCCTCACAAAGAATGCAGCTCGCTCTAGCAACTTTAGAGAGGGCAAGACGGGTTGTGGCTAGGACGGGTGCGACGAGTTTTTGGACTTGGAAGGATCAAGCAGGGGAGTATCATTTAGTGCCCTCGTGTTTGCCTCGAGTCCGTTTTAGACTTGTCCATCGGTGTTGCGGTGGAAACCACCCTAAACCCAAATCCCCATAATCCTAAACCCGCACAGCAACCAACCCCTCTAGAACCCTTACAGTGACCGGTTAGCGGAAGCCCAAACCCCTGTAGTCCCAATCCTTACTTCGCCAATGAGCCAGGAAATAAAAGGTTAAACTTTCAGACTACGATTAAACTATAAGAACCCAAAAAGTTTAAAGGTTGGGTATTGAGGAACTAAGAATCTGTGGGTCACTGGGGCCATGGCATTGACCAGGATCTGGCCTCCCACAACCCGGCCTTTGTCTGTCTGGTGCTTAGTAGGGAATGGGGGAATGGGTTATAGGGACTACTATAAGGGACTTTAAGGGACTATCATAGGGATCCATTCCCCCATTCCCTACTAAGCACCAGACAGTTGTGCAG